AAGAGCATCTCTGAACACACAACACACCAAACCTGGAAGCAGAAGAGCATCTCTGAACACACAACACACCAAACCTTGAAGCAGAAGAGCATCTCTGAACACTCAACACACCAAACCTTGAAGCAGAAGAGCATCTCTGAACACTCAACACACCAAACCTTGAAGCAGAAGAGCATCTCTGAACACACACAACACACCAAACCTTGAAGCAGAAGAGCATCTCTGAACACTCAACACACCAAACCTTGAAGCAGAAGAGCATCTCTGAACACTCAACACACCAAACCTTGAAGCAGAAGAGCATCTCTGAACACACAACACACCAAACCTTGAAGCAGAAGAGCATCTCTGAACACACAACACACCAAACCTTGAAGCAGAAGAGCACCTCTGAACACACACAACACACCAAACCTTGAAGCAGAAGAGCATCTCTGAACACTCAACACACCAAACCTTGAAGCAGAAGAGCATCTCTGAACACACAACACACCAAACCTTGAAGCAGAAGAGCATCTCTGAACACACAACACACCAAACCTTGAAGCAGAAGAGCACCTCTGAACACACACAACACACCAAACCTGGAAGCAGAAGAGCATCTCTGAACACACACAACACACCAAACCTTGAAGCAGAAGAGCATCTCTGAACAAACAACACACCAAACCTTGAAGCAGAAGAGCATCTCTGAACACTCAACACACCAAACCTGGAAGCAGAAGAGCATCTCTGAACACACAACACACCAAACCTTGAAGCAGAAGAGCATCTCTGAACACTCAACACACCAAACCTGGAAGCAGAAGAGCATCTCTGAACACACAACACACCAAACCTTGAAGCAGAAGAGCATCTCTGAACACACAACACACCAAACCTGGAAGCAGAAGAGCATCTCTGAACACACAACACACCAAACCTGGAAGCAGAAGAGCATCTCTGAACACACAACACACCAAACCTTGAAGCAGAAGAGCATCTCTGAACACTCAACACACCAAACCTGGAAGCAGAAGAGCATCTCTGAACACAACACACCAAACCTTGAAGCAGAAGAGCATCTCTGAACACACAACACACCAAACCTGGAAGCAGAAGAGCATCTCTGAACACACAACACACCAAACCTGGAAGCAGAAGAGCATCTCTGAACACAACACACCAAACCTGGAAGCAGAAGAGCATCTCTGAACACACAACACACCAAACCTGGAAGCAGAAGAGCATCTCTGAACACAACACACCAAACCTGGAAGCAGAAGAGCATCTCTGAACACACAACACACCAAACCTTGAAGCAGAAGAGCATCTCTGAACACACAACACACCAAACCTGGAAGCAGAAGAGCATCTCTGAACACACAACACACCAAACCTGGAAGCAGAAGAGCATCTCTGAACACACAACACACCAAACCTGGAAGCAGAAGAGCATCTCTGAACACAACACACCAAACCTTGAAGCAGAAGAGCATCTCTGAACACAACACACCAAACCTGGAAGCAGAAGAGCATCTCTGAACACACAACACACCAAACCTGGAAGCAGAAGAGCATCTCTGAACACAACACACCAAACCTTGAAGCAGAAGAGCATCTCTGAACACACAACACACCAAACCTTGAAGCAGAAGAGCATCTCTGAACACACAACACACCAAACCTGGAAGCAGAAGAGCATCTCTGAACACACAACACACCAAACCTTGAAGCAGAAGAGCATCTCTGAACACACAACACACCAAACCTTGAAGCAGAAGAGCATCTCTGAACACACAACACACCAAACCTTGAAGCAGAAGAGCATCTCTGAACACACAACACACCAAACCTTGAAGCAGAAGAGCATCTCTGAACACACAACACACCAAACCTTGAAGCAGAAGAGCATCTCTGAACACACAACACACCAAACCTTGAAGCAGAAGAGCATCTCTGAACACACAACACACCAAACCTTGAAGCAGAAGAGCATCTCTGAACACTCAACACACCAAACCTTGAAGCAGAAGAGCATCTCTGAACACAACACACCAAACCTTGAAGCAGAAGAGCATCTCTGAACACACAACACACCAAACCTTGAAGCAGAAGAGCATCTCTGAACACACAACACACCAAACCTTGAAGCAGAAGAGCATCTCTGAACACACAACACACCAAACCTTGAAGCAGAAGAGCATCTCTGAACACACAACACACCAAACCTTGAAGCAGAAGAGCATCTCTGAACACTCAACACACCAAACCTGGAAGCAGAAGAGCATCTCTGAACACAACACACCAAACCTTGAAGCAGAAGAGCATCTCTGAACACAACACACCAAACCTGGAAGCAGAAGAGCATCTCTGAACACACAACACACCAAACCTGGAAGCAGAAGAGCATCTCTGAACACAACACACCAAACCTTGAAGCAGAAGAGCATCTCTGAACACACAACACACCAAACCTTGAAGCAGAAGAGCATCTCTGAACACACAACACACCAAACCTTGAAGCAGAAGAGCACCTCTGAACACACACAACACACCAAACCTGGAAGCAGAAGAGCATCTCTGAACACACACAACACACCAAACCTTGAAGCAGAAGAGCATCTCTGAACAAACAACACACCAAACCTTGAAGCAGAAGAGCATCTCTGAACACTCAACACACCAAACCTGGAAGCAGAAGAGCATCTCTGAACACACAACACACCAAACCTTGAAGCAGAAGAGCATCTCTGAACACTCAACACACCAAACCTGGAAGCAGAAGAGCATCTCTGAACACACAACACACCAAACCTTGAAGCAGAAGAGCATCTCTGAACACACAACACACCAAACCTGGAAGCAGAAGAGCATCTCTGAACACACAACACACCAAACCTGGAAGCAGAAGAGCATCTCTGAACACACAACACACCAAACCTTGAAGCAGAAGAGCATCTCTGAACACTCAACACACCAAACCTGGAAGCAGAAGAGCATCTCTGAACACAACACACCAAACCTTGAAGCAGAAGAGCATCTCTGAACACACAACACACCAAACCTGGAAGCAGAAGAGCATCTCTGAACACACAACACACCAAACCTGGAAGCAGAAGAGCATCTCTGAACACAACACACCAAACCTGGAAGCAGAAGAGCATCTCTGAACACACAACACACCAAACCTGGAAGCAGAAGAGCATCTCTGAACACAACACACCAAACCTGGAAGCAGAAGAGCATCTCTGAACACACAACACACCAAACCTTGAAGCAGAAGAGCATCTCTGAACACACAACACACCAAACCTGGAAGCAGAAGAGCATCTCTGAACACACAACACACCAAACCTGGAAGCAGAAGAGCATCTCTGAACACACAACACACCAAACCTGGAAGCAGAAGAGCATCTCTGAACACAACACACCAAACCTTGAAGCAGAAGAGCATCTCTGAACACAACACACCAAACCTGGAAGCAGAAGAGCATCTCTGAACACACAACACACCAAACCTGGAAGCAGAAGAGCATCTCTGAACACAACACACCAAACCTTGAAGCAGAAGAGCATCTCTGAACACACAACACACCAAACCTTGAAGCAGAAGAGCATCTCTGAACACACAACACACCAAACCTGGAAGCAGAAGAGCATCTCTGAACACACAACACACCAAACCTTGAAGCAGAAGAGCATCTCTGAACACACAACACACCAAACCTTGAAGCAGAAGAGCATCTCTGAACACACAACACACCAAACCTTGAAGCAGAAGAGCATCTCTGAACACACAACACACCAAACCTTGAAGCAGAAGAGCATCTCTGAACACACAACACACCAAACCTTGAAGCAGAAGAGCATCTCTGAACACACAACACACCAAACCTTGAAGCAGAAGAGCATCTCTGAACACACAACACACCAAACCTTGAAGCAGAAGAGCATCTCTGAACACTCAACACACCAAACCTTGAAGCAGAAGAGCATCTCTGAACACAACACACCAAACCTTGAAGCAGAAGAGCATCTCTGAACACACAACACACCAAACCTTGAAGCAGAAGAGCATCTCTGAACACACAACACACCAAACCTTGAAGCAGAAGAGCATCTCTGAACACACAACACACCAAACCTTGAAGCAGAAGAGCATCTCTGAACACACAACACACCAAACCTTGAAGCAGAAGAGCATCTCTGAACACTCAACACACCAAACCTGGAAGCAGAAGAGCATCTCTGAACACAACACACCAAACCTTGAAGCAGAAGAGCATCTCTGAACACAACACACCAAACCTGGAAGCAGAAGAGCATCTCTGAACACACAACACACCAAACCTGGAAGCAGAAGAGCATCTCTGAACACAACACACCAAACCTTGAAGCAGAAGAGCATCTCTGAACACACAACACACCAAACCTTGAAGCAGAAGAGCATCTCTGAACACACAACACACCAAACCTGGAAGCAGAAGAGCATCTCTGAACACACAACACACCAAACCTTGAAGCAGAAGAGCATCTCTGAACACACAACACACCAAACCTTGAAGCAGAAGAGCATCTCTGAACACACAACACACCAAACCTTGAAGCAGAAGAGCATCTCTGAACACACAACACACCAAACCTTGAAGCAGAAGAGCATCTCTGAACACACAACACACCAAACCTGGAAGAAGAAGAGCATCTCTGAACACACACAACACACCAAACCTGGAAGCAGAAGAGCACCTCTGAACACACACAACACACCAAACCTGGAAGAAGAAGAGCTCCAACAGCCGAAGGCCACAAATAGTATTTATTCAATGTTAATGTCCATTTAGATCTTATGATTCTCTTTTCAATTGCTTACATGTTTCTCTAGGTGGCAGTGTGGTGCAAGACATCACTGATTTCATCACACTATAATGCTGGAATTGATTAGCCACAAAATGAGCCTTTGAATACATGAATAAACACAATAGAGGAATGATGAATAGGTTGAACTAAAGACGGGTTACCTGGCCAGCAGAGGCAGGAATACTGGTTAACTCCTTCCTGGCAGGTGGCAGCATGCAGACAGGGGTTAGACACACACTCAGGGATGTCTTCTTCACAGAAAGAGCCCATAAATCCAGTGCCACTGCAGTCACACGCGTAGCTGTAATGCAAAGCTTAGTCTGATGTGTGAAGAAATCATTTTACACATGAGCTGTGGTTTGAACTGTTTTAAAGGACAAACATCATTTCTGTTCAGGGATTCAGTGTTTACAGTTTAATGATGTACAAAACCTTGTAAACTCCATTTAGCTATAACTGCTTTAATACTTTAATATTTCCGCCTTAAATACTTCAGAATACATATGGAATATGGTAACAGTATTTAAGCAAACTGCATTTATTTTTATTTGAAAACTTTTGAAATCCTCCTGTAATCAATAATTTTATCTCTTAAAACTCATCTTTGATCACCAAAAGGACATATTTCAAAGTTTTTTCCTTAAAATATCTTGAATGTAACTCGACACCCTTGCCTCATTTGGTATACGCGGTTCTATGAATATGTAAATGACAGTCTTTAAAACCCCCTGTGGTGAAAATCAAGTGTTTAATGTTGTTTATATGTGTGTGTGGTGTTTTTAATATGCTTAAAGAAAAACCATGTGCAAATTCATCAGTAAAAGCGAGTGGATCAGGTCGTCACTGATCGACTGGAGGCGGGGACTAATTTGCATATTCATTGTTCCTGTAGAACTCAACCAATCAGATGACAAACCTCAGATTGATCAAATACACTCACCTGTTCACCATATCCACACACGTCCCTCCATGTTGGCAGGGTGAACTGTGACACTCGTTGATGTCCAGCTCACAGTTAATGCCCTCGTACCCCGACACACACGCACAGGTGTACAGACCCACGTGATCATGACAGGTGGCGCCGTTCTGACAGGGATCCTCGTCACATTCATCAACGTCAACCTCACAGTTCACTCCTGCAGGACAGTACAACACACACACACACACACACATGCAGACTATGATGCTGCATTTCCAATATAACATTAACAGAGTTTTTAAACATTGTTTTAAGACATCGTATATCTTCTAATGGTGCAGTGTGGAAATGATGATCATTTAGTGCCATGGTATACACTAGTGTCAAATTTGACTGAACTTTTTTCATGATCTTTATTTAATATCTTTTTAGATGCCGTTCAAAAAACTGCTTAAATGTCTGAAATTGTTTTTGTAGACAAATATAAATTGTCTATAAATAGAATTCTTCATACATCTACTGAAAAAAATTATAAAAAACTGCTTAA